GTTGGCAATATAGAGTTAGGGAAAACAGAAAGATAGCTAAAATGCTTAACAATGAACATTGGTAATACTAGTACTAGTTGACAGTAGCATTAATGTTGATGTAATCAGCTCGTGTGGCATCCAATGACCGAGATGTGGCCATTATGCGGCAAATGTTAGGATAACCGCGACGGCTTTCCACTGCGGGGCGTTGCGGTGCTCACTCAGTATGCTTGGACATGTTACACTCTTTGTTGTTAAGATTTCCACAATTACTGGAGTTGTTGTAGGTACTTTTTCTTATTAAATTTCTTTGTTTTAGACTTTAAGATTTCCGCAATAGTTGTAGTTATTAGTAGTAGGTAATACCTATATTAGGTATTTGTTACCTTATATGTTGTTATTTTTTTTTTTTTAAGGAAATGCAGACAAATAATCGTAGTACCTACTAGTTGAGAGAAGCAGTAATGTTAACCTGTGTGGCATCAAAAAATTCAATATTAATTTATACAGTTTAGGTTTTTACAAGCACATGAAAGTCGGAAGGTACGCCATCGAGCATCAGTTCGCAAATCTACGACGGGAGGCATTGTACAGAGACATCCAATGGCCGAGCTGCGGTTGTTATGCGGCAAAAGTTCCGAGTGCCGCGATGGATGTTCCATTGCGGTGTTGCGGTGCCCACTCACTATGCCGCGACATGTTATAGTCAAGTTGTTTAGATTTTCACAATAATTCGAGTTATTAGTAGGTACTTACTACTTCTTTATTTTTTTTGGAAATATGTTTTAGTTACTTCTACCTATAAGATAGGTTTAATGTACTTAGAAGTAAAAGTACTTGTACAAGACAAGTAATAAATGACAATAAGCAAATCTATTCAAGTTAAATTAATGCAATATTGTATATAGAGTTATAGACCATTAATTATCAAAATTATGAAAATATTCTTTATAGTCCAGGCAACGAAAAGGTATAGTGGGAAGTGCTTAGAACACAATTTTTGACTTCGTAACTTTGTGAGGACTAGTTAGGAGGTAAACATATCAAAAGTCCCCGCCCGTAGCCCTTAAGCCGGGGGGAAGGGGGGGGGGGGGATTGAAGGTCCCATTTTTCGGTTTTTCGCAATATATCTCGGAAACTATGCATCTTAGCGACATGAAACTTTGACAAAAGTGACCTTTCTCCACCACCGCTCAAGTACAAAAGGCAGGTGAAACCTGCATCTTAAGGTGGTATGGAGCTCCAGCGAAAGAGATTTCCCTCAAAGCCTACAGGTACAAGTCATTCTTGAAATTAGTGGCCACCATCAAGCCTGATATCTCTTGTCTTCCTCCCACCGAGGGAGCAGTAAAACAGCATTCTCAGGAAGTGGTGGCAATTTTTTTTTCCATAATTACAGACTTTCAAGAGCGGATATCTCGAAAACTATACAAGATATCAAAAACATGACTGAATAGGACTTGTAGCAAATTTAATCAGCGTTCACTTTTATGCGAAATATATGAAGATATATGCGAAAAACCTAAAAATGGGACCTTCAACCCCCCCCCCCCCCCTACCCCGGCTTAAGGGCTACGGGCGGGGACTTTTGATATGTTTACCTCCTAATTAGTCCTAACAAAGTAACGAAGTCAAAAATTGTGTTCCAAGCATTTTCCTCTATACCTGTTTTTGAGCATTCGTTGCCTGGACTATATGTTTTATATAAGAATGTAAGGAAAAATATTATTACCCACTTAAAAGTTTACATTTCTAACCCAATATCCAGTTCTAAATCCTTTACGGTCGCGGAGCCATAACCATTCCCAGCTCCAATATGAAGATGTGTCTTCTTGATGATCTTTATAGATGAGATATATATGAAGATGATAGTAATTACAGATCTGGTATTCTGAGAACATATTTTTTACGTAAATTAAACTGTTTAATAGATTTTTTTCTTGAAAAACTTAATAATAAGCTGTGGAAGGCATCCGTCACTAAAAAATAATGACTTGACAGATGCTGACAGATGTCACATAGAGATATTTTTTTAATATTCTCTCTAAACGTGTGATGAAGGCACTTCGTAGCAAAGCTCACTACAAGGTTCATTAATGTCGAGGACATTGAACTGAAGTATAATATTCGTTCTATGATATTGGATTAAAATAGTGACTTAAAGTAAAGGTATTTATTCCTTAAAAATAAATTTGCAATGCATAATCAAAGAACTGCACAGTAAATAAGGTACGTTGCTGATGTGGCCAATATGCGGCGAATGTACTGACTTAAGCGAGACGGATGCTCTACTGCGGTGTTGCGTTACGGTACGCATTCACACTACAATGCCGAGGCATTACACTTTTGGCCAAGATTTACAGAGAAATATGTTTTTGATACCTTTATATGTATAAATAAATATCTCGTTTTTCGAAAAAAAAAAAATGTATAAATTACGAAACTATTGTCAATGAGCATAAATAATGCGTTATGTAAAAACAGTTTTTCGTAAGAAAAATCATTTGAAATAAAAATACTGTGTGAATAAAATTATCAAACTTTTGGCCATGGAGCCAATACGGACGTGGCGGATCGCGTCCGTGAATGAGTGAAACTGAAAAATGGGCTCGTCCTTTTGGAATATTATGGATAAATATGTGTGGTGAAGGTAGTAAGTCGTGTGTGGCAACATTTTATTGATTCGATGTTTGATTTTCCAAATTATTGAAAAAGAGTTCCCCTTTAAAAAAATCACTATTGTAATCGAGCCCGGAATGTTCGATAGCTTTTTGGAGCTAAACGAAAACGAAAGAAACACTAGGTTTTTGGTATAAATCATACGCTCGGGGTATTCGAAAAACAAAAGAAACATCAGGGTTTCGGAATAGAATCATACGCTCGGGGCAATCGTGACGGAACGTCGGGCCTGCGGGCTTGACGCCGCGCCACAAATCAACCAAGCACCGCCGGAATGACTGAATGCTTAATGCATACCGTTGTCCCGATGAAATGTGGATGGATTCCATGATGTGACAGCGACGCACTCCGGATGTCTTTGGAAATGTTTTTAGTAGGTGGTATCTGTTCACTGGATTTGCCGTTTTTATCAATATAGGAATCCCTACATTCGATAAATTGATGAAGATCGTCAATTATTTTACAGAATAGGAAATACGTATGATTCTTTTACATTTTTATTTAGTCATCATCCCCTATATACAATATAAATAACAACGTTGAAAAACTGGAATGAAGAGTAAAAAAAAAATGTTCAAAATAGCCACTTTGTACGGGCATTTTAATCGCGAGCTATTTTGTAATGCTTGGATGTGACCGCACAATTCATTAAACTTACATAAAAGATAAATGACCTTACAAGATACTGATATTTGTGTTGTTTACCTTCACTGTGGATGGAAGTTGGAAAAAGACATTATGTTTAATATTTTTTTGGTAAAAATTTAAATGCGGTAGTTAAAAGTTGGATTCGATGTCTAGATGTGAACGCGGCCTTGACATTTACGCACTCGCACTATAATCTCGTTGACATTGGCATATCCTGTGAACATCATTTTTGATTGTTGTTAGGTACATTTTTACGACACAACCGTCTCTCGTCGCGTCTCAAATATCATATTCATTGCCTTGCGGCTTAAGGCTAGGAAAATTTCGACGCGGCCAATAGGGCCGTGGTAGCATAATGGTTAGTGCATTCGCCCGGATTGCGAAGGGTGCGGGTTCGAGTCCCGTCCGCTGCCTGGTCCGCGTGGATTTTTTTTCTAGTAAACTTTTCTTTAGATTTAAACATCTAGCAGTTAAATGCTTAAAAATAAATAAAAACATAACTTTAATTGCTATTTCTTCTTTCAAATGTTTAATACTTGAAAAAGTATTCATTTGACATTGTGGGTTACTTACAATGCGAAGAGATGGCGCTGCCTTGCGGCTTAAGGCTAGGAAAATTTCGACGCGGCCAATAGGGCCGTGGTAGCATAATGGTCAGTGCAGTCGCCCGGATTGCGAAGGGTGCGGGTTCGAGTCCCGTCCGCTGCCTGGTCCGCGCGGATTTTTTTCTAGTAAACTTTTCTTTAGATTTAAACATCTAGCAGTTAAATGCTTAAAAATAAATAAAAACATATTATATTCATTAGTTCGTAGTTTCATAAGTTTTTCGCACTTTTGTATCATTAATTTCTTTCTCGTAAATAATTTTTTGATAACAAAATAATATTGATGGAAGGACAACCTTAAAGTAATAAAGTTTATATAAAAATAAAATGAGGCTTATTTGAGTTACATGCATATTCCCTATTTGCAGCAAATAACTCTACTTCACGTGATGTTGTGTTATGGGAGTTTAATTGCGGTAGTTTATGCGGCTGACAAAAATCCGCTCCAACCATCCTTAATTCACGCTAGCCTGTAAATCCAATCCCTACGATGTAGAGCACCGGATCACATAGATCCTTTTAACCAACAGAAACACTACTAAAATTAAGTGTTATTTCATAGTAGTCTTTTATTGTAAGATTTGTCCCTTCAAAAACATGTAGCCAAGACGAGATCATATGACTCTCACTCAGAAAGTTACACCGTATGTAAAGCCAGGCTTTTAACTCTACACACCCTAACCCCACAAGGCCTAATATCACAAACTCTACACCTTGTGGGTTACCTACAATTAGCTACAATGTGAAGAGATGGCGCTGCCTTGCAGTTTGAGAAACTCTAGAGAAAATTCGAAATGGCTATCAGGGCCGCGGTAGCATAATGGACAGTTCATTCGTCCGGATAGCGAAGGGTGCGGGTTTGAGTCCCGTCTGCTGCCTGGTCCGCGTGGATTTTTTTCTAGTAAAATTTTCTTTAGATTTAAACATCTAGCATTTCAATTCTTGAAAAAATAAATACAACACCTTAGTCAAAATCGTCGTCTTGACGTCATGACGGTGGGCTGTACTGTGCCCCGAGATATTCCCATTTTGTATTTTTGATGCTTTTCCAAACTTTACTTCTCATCAAACATATTTCTCCAACAGGCAAGTCGTTCACGCTCACAATAATGCTGGCGACATCGCCGCCGCAAGTGGCGACGTACCAGAAGGCGATAAAGGTGACGGTGGACGGGCCGCGCGAGCCGCGCTCCAAGACCAGGCACCACGGCTTCCATCCGTTCCATTTCGGCCCGAGATTCGCGCCTGACCCGCTCATGGGCACGCTGCCTTTCAAACTTTCAGGTAAATTGTAATTTATGTAGGTATAAAAAAAAATCAATCGCTGAAATGTGTCTATGTAGTATACATGTCGTGGCCATATCGTAGATTTGCTCACTTCATGAAATGCTCGAGAATTGTTGATGTGGGCATCTTAATTTGACCCGATCATTAAATCGTCAATATTTAACGATTTGGTCATCCACATTTGGCCGGATCGTATAATTAAGGTGTTCATAAAATATTTAATAAAAATCCAGAATATGTAAGAACTTGTTTATTGTCATTTAAGTTCGAATGACACAAACAAATTTAATCAAATTTTTGTAACAAAATAAACAAATTCAAGATTTTTTTTCCTAAATTAAACATCAAACATGTCAAGAACTTACACATTTATATTCAGAAAACTATCAAAAATTACAAATAATTAGGTACTTTGGTACATATTACAATAGTAGGCTTAACTGTTCTTCCAGGGCCCAAAAGGTAATACTTCACACTAGGTTAGGTTAGGTTAGTGATGACCGCCGAGACGGTGTAGTGAAGTCCCAAACAAGGAACTCACGGCGTCATAATCGGCAGAGCGGGCACACCCCAGTGTTTTAGTGGGTATGCCCGCGGGCGTTCACCTGGTCATGAGCTATGACCGGCTGAACGCACGTGGGAGAGCCCCACATAACCTCGTCGCACACCCGGCGACGGGGTATGCATAAGGCAGCATTTCACTGGGTCAAAAAAAAAAAAAGGTTAGTGATGTGATCATAACGCGCGAGCCGAGCGAGCAAAGCGAGCGTGCCGCGGCAGCGGCCGGCGAAACGCCTGAAAAAAAAAACCTTAAGAGACCTTTTCTACAAAAGAAATTCAAGTATAGAATATTCAAGTATCACCCAGGTGGGTCCTGGAAGTACAGTTTTACAGTATATCTTTGTACGGCATTGATTCTCATCCGCACTTTGTACCTCAACCGCAGTTTCCAAAATGATTGTTTCGTCCATCCAAAAAAAAAATAAAAAGAGGATGGACAATATGTCCAAATTTATATTAGTTAAGTAGACATAAGTGAGAATGCCGCATGTTTGCATGATTAAATATAAAAGGCCGCACTGAGTGCACAAACAAATGTATAACAAAACTTAAAAAAAAAAACAAACTAAATAATGGCATGGGCATACGCCTATGGAGTAATTGTATTCATTTATAAAAAAAAAATGTTTCGTCGAAAACCCTTTTGTTATCACTTTCTTCCTCATTAAATAACGAATAATGCACTTTTTCACTGCGAGAAACAACATTGTCGGCAGCGGCCGCCATATACATATATAAACAAAGCGCTTGCAGCGCCGCTACCGGTAATTAATGTAACTACTTTACAATGTGATCAAATAATTTTTGCCATTTCATGAAGTAGCCACGCGTTTAGTTGGCCATATCGTGAAACGATTTCTCATCATTGATCTGCCCAAACCACATCATGATGTGGCCAATAGATAGTGAAACATTTCATGAAATGCGACCATTTCATGAAATTCTCGAGCATTTCATGAAGTGAGCAAATCTACGATTTGGCCACGACATACACATAACTTCGGAAAGACTGCACCGAATTGGATTTTTGTTGTGTCCGTTATTGTCACGACAAAGTATATCAAAAATTATTTTTGTAAAATACTTTAGAACACACACTTTACACATTAGGCAGTTTCGGTAGGACAAGTTCACTAGTTAGGGATTTTCCTGATTTCCTTCAGATTCCTTCTTCTCTGGTATTGCTAGTATGTCAGTTTCGTGAAATTGCTAGTATTTTGATCCGCTAGTTTTCATTATTTGTCAGCTAATCGAACGATTTACCTATTCGTCAGTTAGATATTTTTGATACTTCTAAACTAATACGACATACTTACTAACGCAAAGAAATTATTACGCAGCGTAAATAACAAAGAGATTTTGTACGAAGTTTCAAGTCCCCAGATAAAAATACGTGCTCCAGGTATAAGTATTTAACCTCCTTGTTAAAAACAAATACTGAAATTAGTTTTCTGTACATATGTCATCTGGTAATAAGGAATGTCATATATTTACATAATATACCTTTGACATGCATGACACGATGAAGTAGTAAAACACAATCTAAACTAACTTTACTGACGAACAAGAAAACTTGCAACCAAAAATACATTGTTTGGTTAGGAACATGACGAAATAGCAAAACTGACAATAAAAATTAACTATTGACGTACAAGGAAATTTGCGAGCAAGGAAACCAACTTAATAGGGAAATTGAAAACTTAGTGAAACTGGCAAATAAGGGAATCGGCGTATTCAGAAACTGTCTAATAAGTAAACTGGTGAATTAACGAAATTGATGAATATGGAAACTGACCAGTGGTAAGCTAACACCGTGCGAGGCCAGTTGGGTCTCAAATGAATAATAAAACTAATCAAATTAGATTATGGAGTTAAGTTATTAAGCTTATGAAGGAAACACTATGCTCAAACTTCGCACCTGGGAAAATATTTTGCACCTGAGGCTTTGAAACAGACGGACTGAATTTAAAAGTATACTGTGACTGCCAAACTGTAGTTTAAATGTAGCTGGCTCGATTTCAATCAAACTTCGGGCCGACCGTCGTCGTCGAACCTGCATACCGATTGTGACTGAACTACACAGTTAATTGACTGTTTGACTGCAGTCTTGCCATCTGCATGCAAAATTCCATTTGTTTCGTTAGCATATGTAAATCTAGTTTTTGATACTCTTTCAAACGAAACATTGTCAAATATTGTTTGTGTAATAAAAACATGCACAATTTAGTGTCATGCTTGCACTTCACGTGGTTATTCTTGGTATTTGCATAACAACACCAGTTTGTTTTTTTATTTTTTTTTATAGAAAATCAAATGAATAGCCATGTATGAAGTGCGGAGATCAAACATAAAACGACGAACTTGACGCAGTTCGGTTTTTCTGCATATTAAGGTTGTTATTTGGCAGTCTGATTTTAGTTGAAATGCAGTTCGTCTGCTCGGGGCCTTATACATATAACACTGTAAGTAAAAATATTTTAACTATGCTCGATACTAACTGGCACTCGACTAAGATCACCCAAAGCTTTACAAAAAATACGGGGAGTCAGTGTAGGCTATATAACAATAAGATAGTGAATTAACGATACTTTTGCAGTCGCAATCGCCTTTAAGCTTTGATTTCTGTGTCTGTATATTTTGATTAGGCTGTTTTTTTAAAACTGGTCTTTTGTTCTTATTAAAGTAACAAGTAAGGTCATCGGAGCTGTACGGAGTATAATAATAATAATAAATTATTTATTTGTTTCAACATAAAATTGGTACAATACACAAATAGAATGACAGTAAATTTTAATTGAAACAAAAAGGTATGTAGCTCAGCATGTGACAGTCAAGTATACGGTCAGTGTAAGTAATATAAGAGAGAGAACAGGCAGCTTGGACCAATCGGGATGGACTGCTCAACACATACAACACAATTTTCTTCAGATTATATTTATTAAACAATATTGTTTATTATATTTATAAAATATATATTATTGTTTTAAACTTTCATGGTCACTAAAATTATAGTAATATAAGTTATTTACGGGATTGTTACCTACCTTGTTTTATATTTTGGCACTGTTGCAAGCGCCATGATCACTCCGTTCACTGATCAGTTACTCCTTGATCATGGCGCTTGCAATAGTGCCGAAATATCGGCAACTCGGTAAAACAAGGTACATGGTAATAATCCTGTAAATTACTTTTATTAAACTAGCTGTGCCCGCGCCTTCGTACGTGTGGATGTCGGAAAATAAAAACATATAGTATGTAGGTTAGGTTAGCTAATGCTACTTGTATTTCTTTAAGCTACTATCGTTACCCTTCATCTAGCGCTCGGCACGCGCTTTGTTTTGGTCGCAACACTAACCTAACCCTAATGTCACCTGTTTGCGCGAGAGCTCTATTGCTGCTGCGCACTCCTGAGCATTCCCACTCCCAGGTACAACCGGCTCCCAGAAGGTGCCCTTGATCATGTGTGTTCAAAGCCCTGAGGGACCCCGTCCCTTGGACGCCGCCACTCCTCGGGAGCCTCCATTGACCCCGACACCTAAGAATCCCCTCCCCCATTTGACTCCGATCCCTAGGAAACCCCGACCCAAAGAAACCCGCTCCCAGAAGCGCCCTAGCCTCAGGAACCCCTACATCCAGCAGCTGCCTGTCTTGTGATTCGGACATTATTAGTTCTGACTCTAATGCCCTACCAATAGCCGGATATCGACTAAGTCGAAATGCCATAATAAATCTATCTGCACATTGTCGGGTACTCCAGCCGCTGTGGGTGTAAACTGTACAGAGTACAATTGTCCACTTTCTAAACATTAATGGAAGAAAACAAAAAAACGGACATGTGCTGTTCACATGCGATAGAAGTGAAACCAACAAAAATGTGAACACATCAAAGTCCTTCCGCCGCCCGCGGCTTTTTTTGTTACCAGCTATTTTTATTTAATTTCTTTTGTTATATTATTCTTATCTTAGGTTTTTGTCAAAATATTGATTTATAAAAAATTACTGACTTAAAAATTGCAAACATTGGAAAGGTAAGGATATAGTATAAAACAAAATGTAATTTCATCCAAATTTGATTACTAATGCTGAGAATAGATGACATTTAATTCAGTAGTTTTAGTTTGATACGCGAGCAAATATACAGACAAACCGACAGACAAACGACAAACAATCAGACAGAAGTTATAAAATTGATAGAAATGTGTTCCATTACTTAAAGTCCATTTTTGCTAAAATATTCAATAAACAGACGCGCAAGGCTTACATTTATATTATATATATATAGATTCTTAGATTCATCTTGAACTTTATTGTAACAGCCACAGCTAAATATTTTCAATATTACAATCATACCAAATACGGTGTGTGTTACAAACATTGATTTTTTTTTATCATACTTCCCGTATGTCTGTTGCGCTGTGGTACCTTAACCGCTAAAC